CGAAAAACAGCGTGTTTCTGCTTCCACTCAAAATAGGCATTTTCAAAATGATATAATACATTATCTGTGGGGTATTTTGAGCTGAAACTTCACAGACGCATTCTGGGGACACCAGAGACTCATATTACATATTGTAAAAAGGGGCATAATATGTCTCCTTTAAGTATTATCGAATTTGAAAGTTATTTTTAATGCGATGACTATTTGTTCATCCTATAAAAGACATTAAATTACCACTAGTAGATGGCTGCAGAGAAGTACGTATAGGCTTATTAGCCATTTCCACTCCCTAATATATATTTTTTGTATTGATTAAATTATATTTAGACATTATGAATGACAGTAAAAGTTAATTTTATCTGCATCTCAACTATCCAGACAACACAAGTACATCTGTAAGATGTCTGCTAAAGATCTGGGAAGCATCTGCTGTGTAATCTGATAAACGTCTCTGAAGCAGTTTTACATGCATTCTAATAAATGTCTATTTGACATCTTACAGGAAACGTCTTAGAGATATATTGCAGATGAGCAAACACTCTAAAAAATACATCTTGCATATGTAAATGCAGAAATCAAATAGACATCTCTGAGATGTACATGTGCGATTAGGGTGAGTGCTTTACTGTCAGGTGCTGGTGCCACCTTCTGTAGAATTTAATGGCACTGGTACTGGTGTCCTCAAATGTTAGTCTGGAGCCCTACAATGGTTCTCGAAGTCAGAAAAGTCTTAACAATGTTAGAAGAATGTTGTCTGTGGTATATTTTCACTGCAAAACAATAAGAAATGGCGCAAATATCACCAGCAAATTTTGAGAAAAGCCGCAGCAAAATCAGCCATTTTAGGCCGCAAAAATCTGAAAAAAGTCCCGCGAAATCCTGGAGGGAATGCACAGTTCACTTTATAAAGGAAGAATGCACTCCTGATTTTGTGAAAAAACATGTCTTTTGTGGTTCAACATCTTGTGAGTTTATGTAAGGCGCTGAAAAGCATGTCTTGTTTAGTCTGGCCTACTGCCTGCCACATCATCAGCTGAAAATAAACTGAGGCACTGTCATCAGCAGCTGGCCGTCATTCTCAAGGCTTAAGTGAAAAACAAAGCCAGAGATTCGCCTTGACCTTCCTCAGAACATAAAGAGGCATGTTGTTCTCTGTGGTTTTGCTGATGGGTAATCATACAAGCTACAGAATACAGTCAGCATTAAAATTGCCACAGTGAAAAAATCTTGCTTCCTGTGCTATTGTTGGCCTTAATCATAACTGCTTTGTTTTCCATTTACAGTTCCTATTTGCATAGGTATATTTAAGGAGACATCCCATAATGCAACTGTCACAGTGGCACAGGCCATTAAGCACATCTACATTCTTGCATGTAACAAATTCAGGCTTTCTACAGAGGGTAATTATATTATTCCTCGACTCTGTGCATCTAGAAAAACAGTATGTGATAGTGAGGTGGTTGTTTATAAGCTCAACAACACCAGCTGATTTAATATTAACTATTAGTAAAGACGTAGAAAATGCTGTTAATTGTGAGGCTTTTTGGGAAAGTTTTTCAGCAGAGGTGTGATGCTGCTTCAATTAACACTCAATTAACAGAATCTTACGAAAAAATATAATTGGATGAAAGTGAAAAACTTTTCACATTTAATTGTGCTTTCAATATTGAAAAGTCAAAAAAACAAAAACAAAACTGTGTTCTGATCTCTGTGTTTACTCACCCACAGCCTCTGACAGGCCGTAGACTCTTTGGTTGTATGCATCTGTTTTGTCCCAGATGAAGGTGTAGGACAGGTTGGGTTCTGCGGGGAACCACTTCTGAAAGAGGCGTCCCACCACTGCCACCATCAGATGCACCTTCATGAGGTTAAAGGGGATGGTGGCTTGGGTCATGGTCACCTTGAGCACTGGCCGGTAGCCAGCCGCCCGTGAACTCAGATACATCAGGTTTAGGTCGCTACCCGGAATCGCCGTCTCCTCCTGAAGAACCTGCACATCAAAGAAAGAAAGAGGTGAAGATAAATAAAGATGGGGGAGAGAAGGAGTGATTCGGGAGCATCTGGAAGAAGCATTAGAGGCGAGGATGAGGCCTCCGATTTTTCTCTCCGCAGGATTAAAGCACATCTGTGCCTGTGTTTGCTCTGACCGCCATTTACTTGACATCTTGGATCTAATGAGGGAGATTTTCACGGGCGGAACATGCTTATATTTGCATCACTGTCGGAGGCTATTACTGTGCCGCATTCCACATGCTCAACCACGAGAAATAGTCAACAGACAGAGCAGTGTGGACCACAATTTGCAGTAGAAGAGTTCAAACTGGATTGATTTCAGACTTTCAGACAGCTGGCCCGTCGTGCCGGATGAAACACAAGCGTGCAGTTAGCAGCATTTAAAGGTGCCCCTGGTGAGGAGTCACCAAAGTTCAGAGCATTAGTGCTAATTTCTCTCCCTCTTTGAGATGCACAAAAGGAGCACAAGAGATGAGGAGCAGCTTGGATCAACAGAGAGATTCTGCATCACAGCTTTCTCCTCAAGTGCTTAATGAAAAGCCAGTCGAGCCACTGTGGAAAGACTGTAATCCCCCTGTCTTCCAGCTCATGGCATTGTCAAGTGTCCTACTGGGAGGGGACATTTGCTTTTCTCTAACACAGAGGACAAAGGGAGCCAGAGGGAATTTCTTTTCTTCTCTTTTTTTTTGGTTTGGATGCAGCTGCCCTTTGCCAGGGATCAGTAGAGGGGGCTAGATGGCTTTGGGAGAACCTTTGATATGCTATAAACAGGATATAAACAGGAAACTAATAATAAGTGGGGGATAAAATAAAAGGACAGCAAGTTAAGATGAAGTTTTGGTGGTTTTAACTCTCATTATTCTCTCAATTTGAAGAGCTAACGCTGCTTCCCTTACACTAGCTGATGCCATCCCGCATGTGTTTGTGCATACCCTACGCTCATAGCTTTACTTAAGGGCGTCTATAAGCCACAATGCATTCATGCTATGCACCCGGCCTCCCCTCTGTGAACTTTGATTACAGAGTCTGAGCTAATAACATGCTTTACTCCGCCTGCTATAAGCTCTTAATAAATGGCACCGCATGCACTGCTGCGTCTCTACGTGTGCAGCCGTGTTATTTTTAGCCATGGGGGCAAGGGCCATAAGTGCATATGGCTGCATTAAAGCAAAATATTTTCTCATTTGCCAAATGAAAGGGAAGATGAAAAAGGCTTTGAAAGTTCATTTGATACAGCCCATTAAATACACAGTAATAAAGACCAGATTGAGTTTTATCATCAAGCATTTTTTCACTAGTGTTTCTGCGAAAAGCCGAATCAATGCGCTCTCATTACATTTAGAGGTGTTATGCTTTAAAGGACATAGTAGTTATTGAAGCAAACACGCAAAGCATGATGGGAAATCATATATATCTTTCATTCACTAAATGTCTCATCTGATTTTCCACTGTCGCATGGAGGTTTTCTCTGGACGTGAAAACGTGCCGTTCTCCTCCAGCCAAATAAAATTTTTTCCAGGCCTGCAAGACGGCCAAGTGGAAGCAATATGCCTGCCCGTTCGGTGTCACGGCCGCTAAGCGTTACGAGTGCTGGATGAGGGGGGCTGAGGGATGTCTGTTTGCCATTTATGTGTGACGCTCTGGGTAAAAAAAAACCTTGAAGGCCATTACAGCTGAGGTCCAAAAGCCCTATATTAAATGCTAACTTGGTTGGGTCTGATTACCCCTGTTTAGAGTTCCTCTCAAAGCACGCTGTAATTCAAATCAGGGCCCATCTACTTTGATGAGTGGGGTTCCACAGAGGGGACAGACGCCCCTGTTGGGACCGAGGAGAAACATGGGAACAGTAGTGTGGCCTGTTACATATGCTGCCGACAATAAGGAAACAATTTTTCTCCTTCATGTCTCAGAGCAAACTCGTAAGACAGCATATGTGTTGGCCCTGAGTGCTCGCATTACAGGGGATGTTCCCCCTGCCACATAAAGGTAAGAATGGAAAAGCTGGGTTATAGAGGAAGGGATCAAAAACACATCTGGACACAAGGTAGGGTGGAAGAGAAAATACAGACAGGCCAGAGCCAAGTTTTGGGAACCTCTCAATCAACAACAGCACTCACTTCACTTGGCACAGAAAAACGTGACTGAGGAATTCAATCTCGTCTTTTATGACTTTTTATCATAACAGTTAGCTTTAAAGGATCAGTTCACTCAAAAATTAGAATTCTGTCATTTACGAAAGCCATACGAAAGCTATTTAAGTCGTTACTGCTCATCTGTTGTTAACCGCATGAGTGAATCATTCATTCGATTCATTAAAAGAAGTAAGATTGACTCATTTACAAATTAAACATGCCTAATTCTCATTTATTTTCATTATATTTAAAAGAGTGGCCAAGATCTTTTTTTAATATACCTCTTGTGATTCACAAATAACGAAAGTCACATGGGTTTTGAACAAGACGGTGAGAATAATAGAGGAATTTTCATTTTTGAGTGAACTATTCCTTTAAGACCTTAAAATTGTTTTGTGCAAGACACAAACTAACCATGCTTTTATATTTATCTCCCCAAAGACCCAGTGATTTATTTGCTCTGTTGTGGGTCCAGTTTTCATTTTTACAGACAGGCAGCAAGAGGCTTGAGTCATTTTAACAGATTATGTAGGGGATAGCGTGTGCGGATTTGCACTATAAAGGGAACAAAAGGAGGGTGTGCAAAAGGATATAAAATGCTGACCAATATCTCCTCAATATGTGGGGTTGTGCTGAAGGCTGTAGTGATTTCTAGCTCTTGCCAGCACCACAATAAGATTCAAAACTCTTTTTCCTGTACTGCATGTACTGCATGCTGGGTGCAGGTTGAAGGCAAAGAACAGACTGTTTCCTCACGTTTTATTAGCACCATCACTGTTCTCAAAGCCTCCTTCTTTTGTGACTGACTGAACAGTGTGCAGAGCACGTCTAGACTCATTGTACATTCATACTGGCTGCTGCCGTATGATACCCTCTTCTGTGCATGTAAATAAATGACTATTCAGTGTCCAGCTGACCAACTGTTCCATTTATAATGGTGAATTAGCACTTTGGTGGGAAGAAAAAATCTGTACTGTTTTAGTTTTAGGGATCTGCATCACCTACATTGTGGCTTGTAATTTTCAAATCTCATATGCACCTGGGTTTAAGGAGTCCAACTGAGCCTTACCTGTGTCTCTGGAATGATGGGGCCATTCTCGGGTGAGGATCGGAAGAAGGTGGAAAGTGGTGTGGCCACGATGAGAGGGCTGGGTCGAATGAAGCCACTCAGGTCGCAGCTGGGGATGTCGTTTTCCTCTTTCTTCATAACCAGCGTGTCCATTACATAGAAGACATTCCACGGGATCCATACTGTACGGAATTGCGTGAGAAACGGCGCCCGCTCGAAGCTCAATGTCAGTGATGCTCCACCATTGGCCAGAATGTCAAACCTGCAAAGATGAAACAGGAGTGTACTTATAAATTCCAGTATTTATTTTGTACAAAAGTTTACACAAATTCATATGCACATAAAAAAAAAACTTAGAACTGTCATACGGTCCTCATTAGGTATGCATAATATGCAGGTAATGTACTGCGGAGGTGATAGAGTGAGTAACTGAGATGAATTAGACATGAGAGCTGATGGCTAGACCTGGTTTAATTGTCTCTTGCAGGTCTCCTCTGAGCCAAGTGTTTCTAAGAAGGCCCTTTCCTTCCTGACACAGGGCATTGCCACGGTGAAAAATGCATGATAATGTGGCTTAGCCTTTTATCATTGCATTTGTGTAAAAGCCAAAACTCTCCCTCTACTCTCTCTCTCTTCCTCTGTTGCCATGAGAGACTTATTAGAAAGGAAATGAGTCAGGAACTGAGCGTACTGTCCTATATTCCGATATTTTGCAAAGGCTGCAGTGGGGAAAGCAAGATAGGGCAGAAAATATGCATGTAGAAGCGTAAGAATTCGCTCACGTGTGTGCACACATACACAGACACAAAAGCAGCTCTGAAGGAGAGGCTGCTGGTGATTGGTCTCCAACAGGGAATCAGAGTACCAGCTACGCAGCTGTTAGAGTAAGTGGATGTGGAAGAGGTGTGGGCATGATTATCCACTGCCATTTTACGGTCTGCCCTGCTGTGGTGTTCAAGTGCTGCAACAGCTGGCTGAGTGGGCTAATCTCGGACACACTGCCCCTATCTATAGCCTCCCCCCTCACTCTCTCTCTTTCAGTCTGGGTCTCCTCCCTCCAGTCCAAGCACTTCTATCATCACGTTTTCTATTAAACATATCTCTCTGGCAGCCTCTTTCTGACTCCTTTCTCCATCTATCTCTGTGATGCACTGTCAGGGTCAAACTTCTCTCTCCTCAGTCCTACGTGTGCTCATGTGCTCTCTTTCTCACTTAAAAGAAAACAACTGTAGAAAAAATAAAAATCACTCCAAAATTATGGAATTATGTCATTTCAAGCCATTAAGATGTTTGTTGTTCTGTAAAACATATAAAAGAATATCCTGGCCACTCTTTTCCAGATAATGAAAGTGAATGAGAACGGCTGCTGTCAGGTTCCAAAGGCACTGTTTACACCTGGTATTAAGATGTGTTTTGGTCTATCTGATCACAAGTGAACAATGCTGAATACAGGTGTGAATGGAATATAAGTATTTGTGACTCTTTAAAAATATATGTTTTTCTTTTCCGTGGTTTAGTTTTGTATGCGCATAAACAACAGGAGAAAACAGAGATAAACAGAATAAAATGGCATATGATAGGAATAAAATAAATGTGCTTCAGTGAATAATTAAAAAGTTAACAAAACAAAAGGATCAAAAAAAAAGAAAAAGAAAAAACAAGCCTGTTTAATTTCATTTTTATGGCCATACCAGAAGGAAACAGAGACAGCTGAAAATGCATCCTCTTTGTTTTCTTGATTTAACAAAGGCACAGTTTTGTTCTTATTCTGAAACCTTTACAGTTTCAAATTGTCTTTATGACCAAACTGCACCGGAGATTCTCGCACTCACACAACATATAATTTACAGCATTGCTAGATGTTTATAAGCCTATGTTGTTTATAACAAATGCCATTATAATTTTTTTTATTTTATAATTGTATATATAATATTGTATTATGATTTTTATAGCTACTTATATTTTCTGATTTATATCTTACTCTGTTCTGAATACTAGTAAAATTTAAAGGATTTGCAGACAACTTATAGGTGACTAATGTTTTTTTCTCTCTTTCTCTCTTATCCATGCAGTAAATGTTTTAGAAATAGCTTTGCGGGAAAAAAAAAAAGAACAAACAAACAAACAAACAAAATGTGAATGCTCCGCATACCCAGGCCATTTGAGAGAATAAGTTCACAGGATCATTTATATAAACATGATTATAAGTTGATCCCTTGTCATTTGAAATGTAACTTAAAGCTTAAAGAGTTAGGAATAAGTATGTAAAATGATTTATTTGCCAAACGGTAGTAATTTTCTGTAAATCTACGTCAGTTACGGATGCTTCCGGGCGAGTGGATTCGCCGCAGCTTTCTTGTCTCTGCTCTATTGCTATGACTCTCCAGGATTGTAGCACGTTCTCACTGGTTTGCTTGCACGCGGCTGATTTCATGTGCGAGGTAAGCTGTCCATGAAGCATTCGCCCAAGCGGAAAAATGCGCTGTTGCTGTCAGATCTCTTGCCGAAAATCATATTGTGTTTGATGCAAAACCAACTCGACTAAATCACAAGAAAAAAATGCTGTAACTATATTTTTATGTTTTCTCAAGCAAAGCAAATTTTAAAAGTCCACTGAAAACATATCTTCTTACATTTTTGGTCATAGACAACGTATGTTGAAGATATACGTTACGGTCAACATGCCTAACTGGTAAATAAAAAAAAAAATCTTTATAAAAAAGTGGGCTATATAAAATGTTACGTTTTATTTTAATGTTTTTTGGCGGGTTTTACTTGGAAAATTTTAATGGGGGTTATGTCTTAATCTTATCAATCAGCATACCTGGTTAAAAAAGTCACAGCTCGCCACTGATATATATATATATATATATATAGACCTTCCCCTCAAAAGAAATCAGGACACAAGTGGTCGAAAGTGGACAGAAGAGAATTATTGGAAGAAGAGAAGAGAAAGAAGAGAAATCTTAATACCAGGTGTAAACAGGGGGCAAAACAGTGTTGTTATTGTTAACTAAACATGGAGAATTATAAAAAATAAAAATGACAAAAACATTTAAAAAATAATTATAATATAAAATATAAATAACGTTAGAATAACACTGGTTTCAAAATGACACAGAAGTACTATAAAAGCAGTTTATATTTAAGTCTGCACTAAAAATGTAATGCTCAAATCAAATATGGCACCTTTTGATGTGTTGCATCATGTCTGACGTCAATGACACCTTTTGTGTGCCACAGAAGAAAGTAAGTCATACCAGTTAGGACCGACATGCTGGTGAGTTAATAATGTCAGAATTTTCATTTTTCATTCAGCTGTTCCTTTAAAGACTTGAACTGACCCCATTCAGTCCACCAGCTGCACCTAAAACACCTCTTCAGTGATTCTATCTTTAATTACACTGAATTCAATTCAATTGCAAACCTTATTTCATTTCCTCTCTGCTTGATTGCTGCCTTTCAGCCATTCAGCACTGACACATGACAGTACATGATGGCAGGTCCTAACAGTCCACTCTCCTTGAAGATCTTAAAGATCTTGCTGGTTACAGTTGTGAGGCCTTCATGATTGCGGTGCTGCTGCTCCTTAATAACACTGGGAATGGTTTAACAGTATGGGAGAGTGCGACCCATTGGCTGATTGATTCCACTCTTGTAAATCCAATGCATTTTAAACAGGCCGTTTGCTAAAGCACTGCTTCTTGAAGCAATGCCTGACATTTTCATGAGATGATCTTGGTAGATAAGACAGCACACTATAAAACACATGCACGCACACACAAACTGTTGTGGAGCCATAAGAGGTTGTGTATTCAATCAAAGTTTTCACACATTTATGTATGTTTTATGCATAAGTACTAAACATAACTAAACAGATGGTTTTGGTGACATCTGTACTCTGTGCTGTATTATGACATTCAGTCATTCAAGGACAGAAACACTATGGAATTGTGTATAGTATGTGTGTCCGCTTATGTTTTCAACCTACATGCCATCCTGCCGTGTGATGGTGAATCCGTGGTCTGGGTAGTGCACAAAGGACACATTGACTCCAATCAGGGGCGTACCATCTGCAGTGAGCACCTGCCCTCTGATAATGGACACCAGGCTGCAAAACAAACACACATGGTTGGTAAGAAACCCACACACACACACACACACACACACACACACTATTAATATGATTTACAGCATGACTGAACATTGATTCCCTAAGCTTTAAAATGTCTAATCCACTGTAAATAACTAGAAAGCACACAGAGTCTGTCTCTCTCACGCATGCACACACACACACACTCACTCTATGCTTATTTATGTGACTCTTGTGCCCCCGTCTCTATAGACAGTCATAATTCAGTCCCCTAAAGGCTCCAGTGGGATTCTTATGTCCTCAATTCCCAAGGCAGATTCTCTTCCGAGGAGCTTCATAAGGATCGATGTGGGCAAAGCTTTTGTTTGAAGAACTGTAACTTTCCCACAGGGGAATAAATAGCTAAAATACTTAGAAATCCTGCATTGTCAATTACTTTTTTTGAATAAGCGCTTCTCTTTCAAATCACACACACAAAAAACAAAACAAAACAAAAGCAAAGGGTGGAACAGAACTGAACTGAACGAAGGGCAAATTATTCAGCAAATATTCATATATTAAATCAATTTCAATTAATTTAATATTAATTGGCATACCTAATTAATTTGCATTTAAAAAAAATAAACTGACAGTTCTAACAAAATAACAAAGCCACCAAGAGAATTAGAGCTTGGGTTGTTTTGGGCAGAAAGTGGCTTCACCGCAGTGTTGAGGACACCTTGCTCTAATTATTGGCGGATTTTTTCAGGTCATTACTGTTTTTCTGGGGGCCTAATCAGCAGTGCAGCAGAGAATCAAAGTGTGGCGTCACCCCTCACTTGGAGCTGGGATAAAGGAAGTGTGGAAATGTCCCTAGGGTAACACGCACAGGTAAACATTCCATAAATAAGCTGCCATTTCTCATGATGTGACCGTAACTCAGAAATCCCATTTGCTTTGTGTGAGATAATAAAACAATAGTGTCCAGTGTTAGCTGCCACAGCCTGAGTGTCCTAAAAGCATGCTGTAATTCACCCTCCTAAGCACTGTATTTCTGTCTCGTTTGCCCTGAACACCACACGTCACACTCACTACTCGCTCTGCATGTCTTCCTCATGCTCTGAGGGCACCCTGACCACAAAACCAAGGTTAATATCGCTTACTCACTGCTATGAAGATAAAAGCAAGAAGGAAAAAACTATATTTTTGTCAACTAAAAATGAAAAAAACAAACAACAAAAAAAAAAAACTACAAATTTGTACTCTAATACACTAAAAAAATAATAGATACAACAAAAAATAAGTGAAATATATAAATACGTAACCATTAATTAAGGCAGCGGCTATTTGCACTGTGTAAATAGCAATAGAGGCTATTTACACTAAGTGAAAATAGCATATTTTCTTAGCGATAAATGCTATTTACATTAAGTGCAAAGCAATGGATTCTATTTACACTACGTTAAAATAGCAGGATTTTCTGCTATTTATACTACTTATTGCAAATAGTGGCAATTATCTGCACCTCAGTATTATAGTACATTATAAAACAGTATGCAGTAATAACGTATTGAGTGTAAATTATAATTTTAATTCAAATTATTAAATGGTTGCCACCTTATTGGGACAATAAAGCCCTCCCTATACCTATCCTAACCCTACCCGATACTTTATTTTCTACTTTTTGATTATTTCCTTCATTTTTATTGAAAATAAATGCCTTTCCGATGTGATATGAGATTTGAAAAGGGAGAAAAAAAAGTTGGGTAAAAGGCGGATTCGAACCCGGGTCGATCGCGTCAAAAAGACTATGGAACGTGCTTTACCATCTATGCTACTGAAGCTGCTGGTTGTCTGCCATCATTTATAGTGTTGACCATCCCTATCACACGTTTGTGGGTGGAGCTAGTGTAAATTGCCTCTGCCAACAAGGCAGGCTATTTGCACTTAGTGTAAATAGACACTCCGATTAATTAAACTGAAAAAAAACAACAACAATAATTTGATATATTTCAAATACACAACCAATTTTACAACCTATTTTTTTAAGATCATACACAGCCTCTGAAAGCTTTCCCTTTCTGCCCTTTCCTCTCTCTAAGAATAACCTTCACGATGTTGCCATCACAAGGATTACGGCTGGATCCAGGTGGACATCTACCAAGGTTATTCACTTCATTCTTAAAGGGATCACACAGATGCGCTCTTCTCCGTACCGCTGACCCTCTCAATGCTCCAGTTGTTTTCCATCCAAACCTCGCTGCTTAAAACACCTTCCATTTTGCCAACATGCACCACGCAGAAGCTTAATCTGCTTAAAAGGCCTCTTAGTGCTGGGATGCATGTAGCAAAATGAAAACAAGACATTTTCATGTACACAGGCAGGGGTTTGCTGAGCCAGGCGTTCAAGTGAACGGACGGCTGAAGATGACATAGAAGAAACATCTGGAGAGAGGCTGCTGGGATATACAGGAATGTGACAGATACTTAATTCTGGAAAATTGAGGAGCTGGCACTTTTGCTCCAGTGGCGTGTTGTTTTACAATGTTTATGCTGCGAATCAATAGGTAGTTACCCTGAGGAAACACACAAACAGCAACTGTTTCTTAGCAGGATTTTCTTTGAAACCGGTTTGACCCAGAAGGCAGAATGTGGAGATATATATAACCAGATTCACAATATCGGCCTTTTTTCAGTCAGCCAAAATATATATCTGTGCCGTGTCCTTTTATCACCATCTGTCGTTTTCAGTCCAGGATAAAAACCTACAAATCAAACTGAACTTTAAAATATACAAAAATACAAAAAAAATACAAAAACCAGAGCCTGTAATGTTTACTCAAACATTTATATTATTTAGCGAGTGATTATTCTATTTTATCATGAGCTGGGAGGATGAGGGAGTCTAGTACACATGGTTTGCATTACATTTGATGGCTGCCAAACGAACTATTCAGTGCAGATGTGCCCCGCGTGGGTTTGTGCATTTATTTTTAAATCACATTAGTCTACCTCCCTTTATCAGATCAGTCTTTATCTTGCCACAGAGGTACTTAAAGGTTTAATGTCCTCACATATGGGGCACCGGCATTGGGCCTATTAAACTCTTTGTTGTAGCTAATCGTGTTATCTGTCATGACCAAATCACAGTTGCCAAGCAATTTTTGAGAGTAATCAAGCTAACTTCAATGTGCATTGAGTTATGCATAGGAGGCAGGGGAAGAGATAAACAAACTGATCGTTATTGCATTATTATCACGTATCAGTCAAATTGAAACGTGACTGTGAGCATTTGTGGTGTGATCAGTCAACCTCCTTTGTGTTTTTAATTCCAGGTTTCCATACATATTAGTTTACTCACTCACTGAATATTCGTCAGACACAATAAAAAGGAAATTAAGTTAAAAGCACAATAAAGCAAAGAGGGACTTGAAATAGCAACAGGTGCTTAACTGACAGAGCAAAAGGAATGAGCAAGGTAAAACGGAGCCATGAAGGCAGCTGACCATGACAACTAAGAAATGATTATATCCATTCAAGCAAACAGAGAGAAGATACTTCGGACCAACCCACGCTCTGGATGTGACAACATAATTAATAGCACTGCTTGTTCAAGCGGGCTATTATCAGATCTAACATCTCTTTCCAATAACTGTTATGGTGCTCTCACATACACAATGCAAATTGAGGCGCATAATTTGTAAATTACACTTTAATGCAACTTCAGAAAATCTTTCTCTCTGTAACCCGGGTCACACGGTTCTTATGAGGTTTTGTCAGCACATCTGGTTCCATGGCAACTGTATGAAGTTTTTAAGAGGGCTGTTAAGGAGAAATTGTGGGGAGTCTTTTTTTTTTAATGGTGGTAATATGGTCTCTGGAAAGCAGAATATGCTTATCATCTGACATCAGGTCAGTCAATCAATTGTAGTTAATGAAATAATTAGACATGTGCAATCCATAAAATTTACATCCCAAGCTGTCATGAACAAGTGCTGCTCTTCAGTATTTTTTAAAAATATATTTAAGTTTTAGCTAGGCCAGTCAGGTCAGTAGATCAGACGTGTTACAATATACACTACCGTTCAAAAGTTTGGAGTCAGTACATGTTTTTCTTTCTTTTTTGAAAGTAATGAATACTTTTATTCAGCAAGGATGTGTCAAATGGATAAAAGTGATAGTAAAGACTCATATTGTTAGAAAAGATTTGAATTTGAAATAAATGCTGTTCTTTTAAACTTTTTATTCATAAAATAATCCCAGAAATAAATTATATTTTAAAGTATATTAAAACAGAAAACCAATATTAGAAACTGAAATAATATCTCACAATATTACAGCTTTTTCAGTATTTTTGATCAAATAAATACAGCCTTGATGAGCACAAGAGACTCCATTAAAAAACATTAAAAATCTTACTGATCCCAAACTTTTGAATGGCAGTGTATATAATTTCTAAAAAAAAAAACCTCCTATTTGGGATTTTATGACAGCTATATTAAACTTTAGCTGGAAATGAAACGGCATATGGTGTGAACCATGACTGATTTGTTTATAATCTTCTTCTATTCCAACTGATCTAAGAAGAATCACAATGATTCTTATAATCTGTCATCTAGATGGATAACTTCATTGACTTTTTGAACTCTGCACAATAACATTCAATACATCACAAAAAACCCAGTGGACTGGTATTAAATACGTTTACATGATCAATGTAAGATGAAGTTCATCACTTGCCTGATAAAACCTGGGCCTCTGGGGCATTCTTATTGTTAAGCACTGATACACTCACTATTTGAGGTTTAATTTGCTCATTGCAGCAGACACAGCACACAGTCCTACCTTCTGTTAAAGGGGTTGTCTCCGTTAATGACATGCGTGCTCTCTGGGCCAATGAGGAAGCTGATTTGCTGATAGAACGACTGGGCGGCTTGCTGTGGGCTTGCGGGTTGGTTCTGGCTGATGATGTCGATGGGGTCAGGAGAGCCGCGGCAGAAGGGCTGAGTCTGACACGAGCTCTGCAGGCAGCAGTCCGGATCCATACAGTCCACCAGGCCATCTGCACACAATGCACATCAAAAATATGAGGTGCTATGTGTTAAAGAGACTTATAGTATATCCTGTGTCCTGTCTCACCACTTATAGTGTGAGAGAAGTAAAACGTCTTTTGGGTCTATGCTTCATACACCATCCACACATTTGTTCTCTCACCTTTAGGGTCAAAGACATGACTGCAATATCCTCTCTTGCTTCTTTCACATTGTCAAGCCTCGCTCTCTCACCTCTATCAGTAAACACCTGGTTAATGCTTTGTGTGGAAATGCGATCTGATCTCCCGCAGGTAAGTGCCATAAACCTCTGCCATCCGTCTCAGCTAGTTTATAAAAAGCCCTGTGTACATCTGGCACACTGTCACAGGGGAGTTGTAAAAGAACACATGTGCAAACACACACACACACGCAAACACGCGCTTTTGTTGCGCTAATCAGTATGAGACCAATTCTTTTTTTACTGCACCCTGAGCTGACACTGCTCTGGTGAGATCGAGACAGAGTGTCTGACTGTTTGTTTTGCCTTACGAGTGTCCCGGCACCCCCTGCCAAAAGCACCATGCAACTTCATGTGAGATCTGGACCTCTCGTAACTCTCACACTGCTTTAAATCCGGTCCACTATGGCCAAAGTCAACACGCACATGAAAAAATATCTCCAGAGAGCGCAGAATCTGTTAACATAGCTTGCTCAGGTCACACAAAACAGAGGTCACGTAATGGGATCTTTGGACATGCATATGTATTTAAGGAGAAATGTATAAATTTTTTATGTTTGTTTATATAAAGACCTTTATGTTCTCATCTTTTTACAGTACCTCTAGTCAAAGGAAGCCAAATTCAAAGAAATCTGCAATACCTGGCACGATTACTGTACGACTGAGAATATATCATAACCTTACTGTATATTTTTCTTTCCGCTTTGGAAAAACTTCAAAGCCTCTTGTCAGGCTTCCAGAGGACTGTAAATCCTTCAGATTTATGATGTTACAGACCGCATTATCTCCAACTACAAAAATAATCTCCTCAAATACTTTGGAATTGCGCTGTGTTTAAAGGTTCATGCATTAACCTCAGTGGAAAAGATTTCTAGACATTTTTGTGTGGACCAAACCTCATACTGGACCTCAAGCGTGCACGGAACCACACATGTACCAAAAAGTTCTGTATCCAAACACACACAACCTGAATGCAGGATCTGTGGAGAAGGATTTACAGCCGCTCGCCCCTTGAGCAGGCCTGTCATTTTTGTTAACTGTAAGCAAAGAGAGATGCTCTGTTATTCATAGAGTCGGTCTCCCCTGATGTCTGTCAAGACAAGAAGTGTAACCTCCAGACTCTAAGCTAACCTCTAGTTTTGAGATTTACTTGTCTTTGGTCTTAGGGTCATGTCTTAGTGTGCTATATTCTGATGGGCTGAAGGCTATGGGATACCACAGTGAAAAACAGAGTGACTCTTAGAAATCAAGATATGCTTAACTTTTCTGTATGAGTGAACTGTAAAAAAAAAATCATTTTTCAAAGTAAAACAAAGGTTATTGGAGTATGTTTTACAAGAAAATACATTTAATACATTTCAGTTTTTCTACTTGAAAATTTGACATTTCATTCAGTGTGTTACTTGCCATTTCTTTGTAATTGTTCATAAAATTGACAGTTTCTGAGTTGAGTGAAAAATTGTTTCCACACCATTTTTTTTCAGTGTAAAAGCCCCAAGATGAATTGAAGGTGTTGTTGTTGTTTTTATTTTATTTAGAATGGCCATAACAAGACGAGACGGTGCGAGTTTGGTGTGTTTAAAACCTGCCTAAAAACTTTATCATGACTTTTATCGAGGGAGAAGAAATTACAATGTCAGTTGTTTCATAAACATTTAAATATGCACATTTTACCGTTTCCACCAGGGTTATATCTTCGACCTGATTATCATTGACAAATACTTATCTGATATTTACATAAACCTTTCCATATGCATATATGTGTGATGCATCCCATTTAAATTTTATAACGCTCATCCGTTCAGTCACCGGTGACCTCACCTCCTTCATTGTCCTTGCCGTCTGCACAGAGAGTCTCCATGGCAACGTCACAGCCGGCCCCTCTCCAGCCTGGTTGGCAGACACAATGCCAGCCATTCTGATCCAGCGTGCAGCGTCCATTACTGTTGCACAGACCTGGGCATCCCTCTACGGAGACAGACAGAGCCGTCATACACTAGTACGGACATGTGTGTGTTCAAATGTGTTTGAGACTAAGTCAAGTATGTGTGTGTTTTTATATTTATGTGACCATATTCCCTTTGCAAGTTGCTCTGTTGTCATTAAAAATCATCAAACGTGGCCACAGTGTGTCTTCGACTTGTGAAACACAAATGGTAACCCAAACAGAGATACACTGAGATCGTCGTGAATGAAAGTAAAGGTTTAAAGGTGAACACAGACTGACGCTGGACTTCAAACAGGCCGAGTGAGGCTGTAGATTCACATGGATGTAACGGATGCTCTCTCTACACAACCAATCAATTCAAAAGGGATGGCAGAAATTTGTGAGGAAATCAAGGTGAGACCCGAATGGAAAAATAACCGATTGAGGAATCCAAATGACAACCCATAAAATTAATTGAAAGAAAATTAATTAAAAGAAAGAAAATCGAATTTAGAAGGAGAGATCAAAGGAAGAGGGTGAAGAAATAATAAATCAGCAGCGGCATCCATGTGAAGCTACGGCACACAGAGAATCCCAGTGGCATAAAGTATAGGGTGGACGTCTGAGCTGGCGAGAGAGTGTGTGCTTCCAGCGCTATACTTTCTGCCCAGGTCACATTCCGCCGGACGGAATCAGAGGAAAGCAAGAGAGGCCAGGGGGAGGGAAGGGGAGGACTGTGGGAGAAGCTAGGCTAACAAACACCAGGGGTCAGGCTGCGGGATGCATGGAGACAGGACCCACAGGATTCCCAAACAAAACTCAAGGACCACAGGTGTGTTTTGTGTGTGAGTGCATGTCAGTAATTGTGTGTGTGTGTGGCTTGTTCAAGACAAACAATGATGAATTTGGCAGATATAAAGGACAACAATAAATACAGCGAGGAGACTAGAACACAGACACGCTGACATCGTGCTTCAAGACAAAAAAATTGTAAGGAGGGAGAAAGGAAGGAAAGAAAGACACAGAGAGACAGCGGAGTGATTGCTTGTGACAGTCTCCCTGGGGCTTTGGTATGCATTACCTTTAAATCCTATCCTCTCTCCTATTATGGGGCCGGGAGGGAGGAAAATTCGGGAAAGAAAATGAACAAAAAAAATCTGAGCACTTGAGTCCAAGTGAAGGACGATTCAGAACACAAAAACACAGAAGGGAAAGAGAGAGTAAGGAATAAAATGACCATAAAGCGGAGAAAAGGAAAGAGGGGCTTTGAGAAGGAGGAAGGCGAGATGTTGAAAGAAGAGTGGGAGCTGTTTCGACTTTGGCCGACTCCGTCTGGAGGATTGCCACGGCGTGTATATTGTGTTACTCAACACATGAATAAATACCATACCGAGAAATGCTACGCGCCATGTCTATTTAGTATTGTATGAGTGAGAAAATGAAAAGAAAAAGCACCATGGAATCTGATAATACACGATAAAAACAAGCGAGAAACATGTTCCGAGCTAACATATTGAGGTTCGGAGTAAAAGTATCAAAGTAAGCCCGTAAGACTTTAAGAAACATCTTAATGTTTAAGAAAAAAGCCTTGTGAGAGTTCTTGGCGGTCTGATGCACCATATGCCAGTTTGTGAGTCTGGAATCACACTTGGCTTAGCACTGATTTAGCCCTGTGAAATCATTTCCAAAAACACCTCAGTAACAGTAAACAAGAATCTGCTAGTATCTCTTCTCTTGATCACCATTTACACAGCCAGCTCGTAGTTCATTATAAAATAAACATGGCTGATCGTCATTTGCGTGCAGGTTCCTATTGTTTTAAAAATGAACTCGAGTGCGACTCTGGGACACGGAGAAGATGCTAAACTGCAGATGTGGAGCTGTGGTGATTTAGTTGGGGCGGGGGATGGTTCTGCTGAAGTTGGAACATTAGCCAAGGAGAGCGCTGAGGACATAGGATTGGATTTCTGACAGTCCAAAAAAAGAAGCCAATGAAGAATCACAATAATAGCAGACACGCAGAGGAGAGAGAGAGAGAAGAGGTTATTAATGCGCCATAAAAATGTCATAAAGACCTCAATCCGGGACACAAGAGCTCAAGGGAGAGAGAATGAGAGAGAGAAGAATAAGAAAAGACACAGTACCTTGGACATACGTCTCCGGGTGAGCTTTACAGGGAGCAAGAAGAAGAAGAAAAAAGGAGGAGAAAGAGGATGTTAAAAAGGTGTGAAAAGACAGTCAACCTGAAACACGCTTACAGAAACTAAGAGCCTTTTAGCACTGCTGGTTTAAAAAAAGCATCTTTCTTTACTGCACAGACATTAAAAATGAGTAGAAATGCTGACTGACTTCTGCTTTCCCAAAGAAATGTGTGAAAAATTATTGTTTGAAGTTGTAAATAAAACAAAAGCTCAAAAACAAAGAAACAAACAAAAACGGTTTCAGCCTTTCTACTTCAAAATTTCATGTTTAATTCAATGCGCCTTTTCTTTGAAATCATTTGTGAAATTTACTGGAAATTCCTGAGTGAAAATTGTTTCAAAGTAAATCTAACACCAAACACACAAACACTGGAGTAAATAAAGCAAAAACATCCACCGAGCAGTCTTGGCATGGCCTTCCATGGCTCGCAAAGCCCACCGGTACACCGCACAAACCTCTGCGACACCATTTATGGAATAAAATGAAAAACAACACCAGTAGAAAATGACTCACTCTTCCTGTTCAGTATTCACTGAGCGCTCCCCTAAATCACTTCTAAAAATGTGTGACACTATCACTCATAATGCATAAAGTAAATAACATGGGCATCATGGGATTTACAGTACCGTTAGAAAAGGGGGCCTCGCATGCTAATTGGAAATTGCATCCTGATGATTGACATGTGGTCCAGGAATCCTGCTGTATGTTTGCTATTTCACGTTTCACATTGTCATCACAACAGGTCTATTATCCTTGAGCCCCTCAGTATGTGAGTGAAATATTATATGGCCCCGAGTGAGGGGGAAAAAAAAAGTGTGTGTGTGTGTGTTGTATGGATAAGCACTGAATCATCCGCATGTGTGTACGCAAGCAATCATCTCCTTCCTGTGGCTAAATGGAATGATTTCTGACAAGGCTTTGGGAGAAACCCTGTGTGGCGTGTCATAACATTACATATGCTAAGTCAGATCAAATCATCCTAAATAAAAGGTCACCTTTTAATACAAGCATAACAACGCTGTTATGCCGAGGCTTCATTAGTTGGATTATGTTCTTAAGGAAGATACTCTTACGTGTGAATGGAAGACGAGTGTGTGTGGTTGAGACTGATAGAGAGGTTTTGCGTGTGTGTATATGTGTGTGAGAGCGTACTGATTAAATTCCTCGGAGTCTCGTTTCCACACACTTGCTGTTATGTCTGGGAGATCCAGAACTTAGACAGTTGTGGAAGACTGAGCGGCGGATCTACTCCAGAATACACAGTGGGTTATGAAAACACAAGCTAACGCATGCTCCGAACTGGAAACTTGCCAGTGAGGGCAGCCAATTACTGGCTAATTACAACAAACTTTTGTTCATTTACATTGATGGTCTTGAGGGGATATATAGAGAGAGAGTAAGTGAAGGAGAGACGGAGGGGAAAGAAAAAAGGCAATCATCCCTTTATGGACATCAATGCTTCATTATTTACGTGCACATTCAAAGAGCTCTGATTAAAGTGACATTAATCTGGAAACAATTACACATCACGTCCAGCGTGGTTAAATCACTGTTCCTCCAAAGAGAAAAAGAGAGAGAGCCTATATTAATTTCCATTATCCTAATTGCGTTGCACAGCCACATGGCGGTAAACATGCCCCCACAGCTGTGGGTATAGCTAGTGTGACATAGAGGCCAAACATGTGTTTTAATCACGTGCATGGGCACCTCAAGCCATCCCCCAGAACCAATCAAACGTTAGCAATGTGTCAGCCTTCTACCTGCCGCCACAATAATGACAGGATAGCGCTCGCCGCTGCCACCAGCACCATTCGGCAGACTGTGTGCCTAATTCCCGTTCCCATTTCAGAGCCTGCCTGGATTAATGTGCCGTGAAAGGGTGTTTCATTAATTAGTGATTGAGATGATAAAGCGTGGAGAATGATTTGTAGATGTACAGTGTGTGCTGTGTTTTTGCTTTAACCCTTAATCTATCTGACATGGTTTGACACGAGGGGAGATTTGAGGGCATTGGAGATCAGGATGATTTAGTTGTGTGTTGGCGTGCTTGTGTGGCTGTAGTGTGCGCTATTGATTTCTTTCTCTGTACGCACGGGTGCATGTGTGATAATAAATGGGAGGTTTTGAAGGACAGGTGCTTCAATATTGCGTAAATGGAAGCTGTTTGTTTTCAACTGCATGTGAGGTACTCTATCAGTCAAAGTTTGGAATAATTTGTTTTAGAAAAGACCTCTTTTTATTAACAAGTGCATTTTTTTTTGGTCAAGAACAGGGTAAAAACAGTAATATTGTGAATTATTATTACAATTTAAAATAAATGCTTTCCATTTTAAAATGTTTTAAAATGTAATTTAAATAGTGAATTTTCAGCAGCTATTACTCCAATCTTCAGTGTCAGGTTCTTTAGAAAGCATTCTATTATGCTACTCATTTACCATTTGTGTAATTACTATGGTTAATCGATGTTGAAAACAGTTTTTGCTGCTTAATATTTTTGTGGAAACGGTACTAAATTTTTTTCCAGATTCTTTGATAAATAGAAAGTTCACAAAACAGCATTTATTTGAAATATAAATATTTTGTTCAATTTAATGCATCCTTGCTGAATAAAAGTGTATTTTTTTAAAAATTGTATCACAGTTTTAACTAAAATGTTAAGCAGCAAAATCTTTTTTTTTATCCCTTTTATTTATTTTTTTGAGCACCAAAATGAGCATATTAGAATTAAAACAGCCAGTGACCAATAATTTTTTGACATGCATGTCTATCAGCTGGTAAATCTAAAAACTATAGTTTTGTTGTCAGACTTTAGCTATAAAAGTAAATTTGTGATACTATGGTTGTCAGATTTTATTTGTGATTTGACATGAAACCCAACCTTGGCAAGTAGTTTGGAGATTTCGGTCTCTCCTCATTCAGCTTGCATTACTACAAAATAGCTGCCTGGGGGCCTTACCAAAATGGCTGTTGAGTGAACAATCTGCTCCAATAAGGATTTTGGAGTCTTCACACAATAGTTCAATTTGTGCACTTTTACAGCATATAAGTTTGACAAAATTATTTTGGATGCATTATGCGGGTACACACACACACACACACACACACACACACACACACACATAAAAGGGGCTCCTGCAGGGTTGATTGATGTGTGTGCACAGCTTGCTGTAATCCATGGTTTTCTCACAGTAAGAGTTGTGCTTCTGATGAATGATCTGGAAGGGCCCAAGGCCTAATGAAGCATACAAGTCTTAATAAAAAAATCTCAAATGTCTGGCAGTGGAAGCTTCTGACAAGCCACACTTCACAAAAAAATAAAACTTTTCTTTAGTCATGAAGAGTTTTTAAAGAGCTATTACCAAGTAAATCTCCTAAGAAAATGGGCTCAAATGAGTATTTTCTTGTCCCAGAATATGCACCATTTATTCACATTATACATGCCAGCACTTTCATTCATCATATTCCTAAACTTGTTTACTAAAGTGAATGCATGGGCTCAGAGGATGTAGAGAGAGAAATATACATCTTAGTAACAGGTGTTCATTTAGTGAGTGTTGCTGAACTAGCTAACTTAAACTAGTGTCACACAATTTCACTCAGTAGTTATTTTCAGTGATGCAACTACTAATAGGCGTCTATATTTAAAATGCTCTATTATCTGAAAGGTGGACTTCCATTCATATAGATGCAATTTTATGTATGATTACTGCATGATCTGCTAGTGGACTCATACTGCCACTGATTACTGTCTCACAAAATTTAGCTAGTGCAAGTAGCTAGTGCTAAGATACACAAAAAGTACTAAATGTAGCCCAACCCACTAAATGGAGCATGCTCTGAGAAGTCCTGTTAACAACTTACAACAAGTCCTGAAATAACCAGTAATCTAAAAAGAGCATCTCAGCCTCCGACAAGAGAAAGTGCAGTTGGCAGAAAGTGTGTTTTGGGTGTCTGTGTCGTGAGAAATATTTCACACTTCTGCTCTCCTTCTCCCCCTCTCATGAAGCTCCCCAATCATTTCCAAATGAATAAACAGATCTGTGTCACACTAAGCTAAATCAAACAGCCGTCTTTTAAAAATCTGCTGTACTGTCTGGATAAGTTCACATTACAGATTCTAATATTCAGTTAGGATTAGGGCTAGGTGATATATTGAATATTCTAGAATCTGCTGAAGATATACAATTAAGGAACACTGCAAATATCACAGTATAAATGAGCTTTTTATATGGGCATTAAGTTTCCTAAAGAGCATGTCATTAGATTGGTTTTACGATCTTTCCTTGTCTTGCAGTTGGCGTGGATGAGATGTTTTAAAAGATTTATACTTCAGTGAAAAAAAACAGTGTAAGAGTACGATTCATTTCCTATACATTTCAATGAATCACATCTAGAATGCCCTCCTTTGCTTATGATATTTCGTTTATATGATCTTTCTGCTTTGATTGTTTACATTCATGGTTTTAGGTGTTGCACAACACACTCTATCACAATATTTCAAACCTAATATTCCACTGACTCTCTTTAAGGTTTCCAGAATTTTATTTCATATAAGGCACCACTGGGTGCTGAATGATAACAACATATATATATGCGGCTCTAATTTTAGGTGGAGATTGGTCCCAATTATATTTAAAAAAAAAAAGTCTCCATACAGCTTAATTGTCTGTATTAATTGTCCAAAAATTGGACAATTGTAATATTTTACCAAAAATGAATTGAGGCTACTATCACCATGTAGTGTGTAACTTATGATTTTAAACGACCCTTAAATTTGAAATGCTTAAGAAAGATTTCACGTTATAACAATAGTGAGAATGTCTGGATGCTGCTGGTCAGTGTGAGAGCTGTCTTACAGTACCTGTGTCTGGTGTCTTTGTGTGAAAGAATGATGATGCAAGTATGTTGTAATGCAGGGGTGTTTGTATGTGGACTCACTGTGAAGAGGTCTAATGAGAGTGAGTGGGTGTAGAGGGACAGGGAAGGTCACACACACAAACACACACACACACAAACACACACACACACACACACCCCTATGTGCAACCATGAGGCCCCTTATCTCAGCCTGACACATATGATGTATGAGGTACCATAATTCTTTTAGCTCCCTCTTGCGCTCTCTCTCAAACACACACACCTCCACCTCCTGCAATGCATGCACTCAGCAAAGAGGGACAAAGTATCAACCTTGGCCTAAAGAGATATATTCAGTCATTCAATTTCTAGAAGGCCACACACAAAGTAAACAAAACTGGAAAGTGTTTGCACAAAAATGCATTATACTGCATAAACACTTTAAACTTAAAGTGTGTCGTTTTTGATGTTAAAATACTTATCACATCTCAACATACAGGGACAACTATAAGTGTGCCATATGTAGGATAAGTTCTCTGAAAAGTATCAACACATTGCTCTTTTTGTTTGAGCAATTGGCTTGTTTGGCTCAACCAATGGTGTGAGTTTAGGGCAGGACAATTTGTTTGGCTGACCAATGACAAACGAGGTGAGTGTTCAGCAAGCGTGCTTGATAACAGTCATTATGTTTGCAATTCCATTTGGTGATGCTAGCCGCACAGAAATTACAAATACAATTTAGCTTTAATGAAACTGTCAAATTGACCAATCCATTAAAACAACTGACGTGTAATTTAAAATATGGTCTTCTAAAGACTTATGGCCATTTATAATGTTTAAACTTAGAGCAACAAGGACATTAAGTGATCAAACTCAGCAAGCATTTCTGCTCTGTAAAGTTTGGAGTCAGGGTGAGAGTGTGGTGTGTGGGTGGCTGGCTTGAACAGAAGAGCATGACAGAATTACATGCTAACCGTGCTAATTTGGAAGACGAATAGCAAAATGCTGGCCAGATTCTCATAAAGCTGCCCGGCGAAACAGGCCTGCTTGCTAACGAGGCCGTGTACCTCGATCGCTCGTGTTGAGTAATGGAGCAGCTGACATACCCTGCTGAGAGTTGAGCTGGTGGAGGATGTAGCCAGCACGCTAACAACATGAACAGATTTAGTGACTGACGGTTAAGCAACTGCCCGGCAACATGTAGATTTTGAGTTTAAGAAGATACAAAAAGAGAAATTTTATATTATATACCAATATACCATGACTTTTTTGCTTTGAGATTTAACTAATACAAAGAGTTTAGTGCTTGTGAGGAGACACTGCTGTCGTTTAGAATAGTTGTTAACCTGTGGAAGCCTGCATCAACGGCAATGAAAATGTCATTGCTTTGATAGCAAGCAAAGGTCAGGGGGAAAGTACAAAACAGAACAAACACTCATAGTCCACTTCCTGTTGAGGTGGAAGAGCCAAAACAGGTGGAGGAAAGGCAGAAAGACAAAGGGAATATGCAATCAAAACAAGTTCAAAGATGTGAGGTAAACCTTCATAAAAATAGCAAATAGCTTCAATACAAAAGCATCAAAACCATCTGGAAATAATCAGAGCAAATACTGTGTACACATTATCCAAGTATGGCAAAAAAGTATGTGGACACCCAAACTCTATCCATGTGTGCTTGTTGAGCGTTTAATTTCAAAACCTTTGGCATAAAGTTTTAACTCCTATTTCTTCAATTCATCTGAGAAGCCTTTCCACTAGATGTTGCAATATGACTGTGGGATTTGCTCCCATTCACACACAAGAGAAATCAGCGAGGTCAGATGCTGATGTTAGGCAATGGGCGCTTCCAAATTCATCCCCAAGGTCTAAAGTGGAGTTCAGGTCTGGGTTTTGTGCAGGCAAGTCGAGTTCTTCCACACCAGACTTAATATTTTATTGAATTTGCTTTATACACAGGAGCATGTTATGCTGGATCAGAAATTCACATAAATTAAGAAGCCAAACTTGTTAAAAACAGGGTATCCACATTCTTTTGGCCATTTAGTGTGTTAATACGGACATACTGATGATTATGTGTCTTACCAACGGTGCAATGTTCTCCGGTCCAGCCCTGGTGACATTCGCATTTGCCGTCCTTGCAGGTACCGTGTTCAGTGCAGCGTGGGAGACAAGCTTTCAGATCACATACTGAACCGGTCCAGCCCTCTTCACAGCGACAGCTTCCTCCTATACACACACCGTGAGAGCCACAGTCCACTGCACACACCTCTGCAAACACAAACAAAGGCAAAAAAAATTAAAATCACTTTTTGGTATGGGCTGCAGCATAGCCAAGGACTATAAAAGGTCATGTGTACTACAACACGGAAGCGCAAATCTCCTCTACTCAAAACAATAAGAGCAGAGGTTACATTCCTGAGAACAGTCATGTCTAAGTTATTGACTTTAAGTGTGAAAAACTTATGACAGGAAATAGATAACTGCGGACCCCTGCTGTGTCAAGCAGCCTGTGTGGCGGAGAGGAGACTGTCTGCCCCACCTCAATCGACACCCCGTAACAGTGACATATCTCGACCTTGTCTGACCCACTGGAGTGCGTGCATGCCTCATGGAGACTTTGGCAGAGGGGTGCTGGCTAAAGGTGTGTGACTGGGGGAAGGGAAAAAGACATCAGAGCGTGCAGACACGGATGAGAATTGACACGCTGAACTTTCCACCCGGACCCAGAAGACAGGCCTCCCACATAGATTGAAGAAAACACATCAAGCCAAAATAAATCAATTTATACACACTCCACGGTCTGCCAAACATCAGGAGTGCGTTTGAATGGCTTTTGGGATCGAAGCTATCATGGAAGTGCTTTATTAGCATTTCTCTTCGCAGGTTTGTACTCTTTTTTTTTTTTTTTTGGCATGTTTACAGAAAAAGATTCTCTATTGACAAAAGCTTCCATAGAGAAATTGCACGTTTTTGTCAATAGAAACTAGTTTCGTGTTTGTCATACCTGGCCGTGAATGCAACTGGCAACAAAAGCCGATGAGGGAAAATTGGGTGCATTTTGAATGATATCCTGTGAAAAGTGTCTGATAGCGATTTGGAATCGGTTTATGAGTTTGTGTACGTGCGCGTGTAGACGTGTGTGGGTTTGGCAGAATAGTAGATGAAGACAGACTGGCGCAAAGCAAGCTGTAGTTTAACAGCCCACACACCATTCCACCAGAGCCTCGCAGCCTGACACACCCTGTCATAGAAGAAACAAAGCACTAGAAAGACATTTCTTGATAAAGACAAATCATGGGATGGGGCATTGTTAAGCCTCCTCTCTGACTCTTTCTGTGGTGCTTCCTGACAAGGTGTGAAACCATGACATGACACTCAGACAGAGCTGCTGAAAGTGTATTGAGACAAAGAAACAGAAGTGAAGAAATAAAGAGAGACTTTCCCAGCAGCCCTTGGGTCAGGTGAGTGCCAGTTTGTGGTTGGCTTCCCCGCTGTGTGCTGTTATTATGCCTCCTGCAGGTGGGCCGGAGTGACGCACCCCTTCGGTGTGTGTGTGTGGGCGCCTGTGTGTTTTATCCTTCATCAGACGAAACTCTGCTGAAGTTCACCTCAGTTTTCTCAGAGCGGGAGCGTGATTGAAAGAGAGAGAGACTGCGTACAAGGAAAAAGTTCACACAGACAGATGGAGAGCAGCTGCTGGGAAGTGCTTCTGGAAAACTGACGGCTCGAGCCGTAAGCCGGCTGCAACTGTACTATATCAATCTGGATTACTGTCTTTGCAGGAGTTGCTGCCAGAGTGTGCGGACCGAGTGCCTAAATGTGTCCCTGTTGCACACGGCGTCATGCACCTAATTTTTTGAGAGGCCATTCCTGGCTTATTTGCTGTCCTAGGCAAGACGTGACGTGAAGTTTTTTAACAAACCTAGTTCTTTATAGAATTAGAAGAAGAGATAGTTTATTATATTGATTCTCAATGTGCTTTGTTAAATCTATAAAATATTAATATTATGATGTGGTAACACTTTCATATTCAGTTCTTTAAAAAAAGTAAATGCATTAGGCATCATGAACTACCAATAAACATTTTTACAGCATGTATTAATAGTCTGTAAATTGATAAATACACTAGAGTTCATTGTTCATTTATATTTTGTTCATTATACATTAAATACTTTTAATTTAAACCTTAGTTTATTATAACTAAAATTATAACTTGAAATGTTTGTTCATGATACATTAACCAAATGTTAAATTCTATTTAACATATGTTCTATTCTATTTATTTATTAATTCATTAATTTCATGAATTCATTCATTTATTAAGTTAAATTATACATTCATTTATGAAGTTAAACTGTTAAAAGATGTATCAATGATCAAAACTAACAAATGCTGTTAAGCAGTGTTATTATATATATTTTATGGTCTCCACTGTATTAACAACAAGACCCGTACAGTAAAGTGTTACCCATGAATTTTTCCAGGAAAGAAAAACATATTAATTTTTTATGAATGTGTTTATATGCAGTATGTTGTTTTTTTGTTTCAGTATTTTTTTTAAATCATTTTAAGATGCAATAATAGTAATGATAATGCTAAATTATATCTAATATGTATAATTTCAATAAAAAAGAACACATTTCTGATTTTTTGGCTAAAAAAAAAATTATTTTGAGGGGGCACATGCAATGACACTTTTGTAGACACGTGCCCTCCTCTCGCCCTCTGTATTTAATTTCTCTTACCCTATCATTATCTAAGACAAAAGGGGCATTATTAAATTTATCAGCACTTTTGGGAGTGTTGTCGTCGATTCGATCAAAACCTGTCCCCATGCAATAGGCGTTTATCAGCATTTACCACATCACAGCACTGCAGCCGTCAACGTGACAGAGGGGGAGCATGCAGGCCTCATTCATTAGCGCTGCACTAATTGAAGATATAAGGCTAATTAATGAAAGGGAGGGAAGTGATGGTTTACAAAGACATCAGGTAGTTCTTCCTCAATCGAAATGGGATGGGAAAGAAAAGGACTGAGAGAAAAAGCAAGAGTGAGACAGAGATTGCCATGTGGGGCTCTTGGGTGAAATAGTATTTTCATTAGACACAGATTGCTGCTGGGAAAATAGCATTGTATAACTAAAAGGCCGACCATGGGTGAGTCCTAAAACAGCAGGAGTCCAATACTGCTCTTATTACAGAGATCAGTATCGTCACTCGCACAAACACAAGACGTGCACACGCATCCCACACTAGCTGCGGCTATTTCAATGGAATCCATCATTTGCTAAATGTCAAAGTGTGCATAGCATAAGTTTCCCATTATACGGCTCTCAAAACCCCCCTGTTCCAGTGCATACACATTATAAGCAGATTCAGACAGTACATGTAGCAAAGCATGATCTATGTGCTGTTCAATGTGCTCTCAAAGAATGTGCTAGAGATCTTTTATTCTCCTTGGGAGAAGTCCACTGCTACAGATGGGAAAGCAGTTTTTAAGGGACCAAGGAGCAAGCGGGGCTGAATTTGTGAAGTGGAACAGTGCTATGCATTCCTTCTCAAAAGCCATGAGGGGCTACTGTGCAGGTGTGTTTGTTTGTGTGTTTATGTTTAATATCCCTTGGGAGAATGCTGCAGTTCAGTAACCCTTAATTCCTCTGATTGTGCGGTAGTTGATGGGGCTTAATCATGCCATTGATTGACAAAAGGCAAATTCATGACCAGAAAATAAAGTTCCCTCCATAAATTGCATTAGCCGGTCTCTCTCCGGGTATAGAGATGTATGTGTTTTGTTGCTCGTGCCAAATCTTTACAATCTGCAGGAATGGAATCTTTCTGGCTTACAGGAAAAAAAAAATAAACACAGCACACCACGTGCTCTACATGCTGCGTGCCGAGTAACGGTAACATAAACACTATGCACAAAGCTAATTCTCTTAATTAAGAAAAATCAATTGTAATCTAGCATTTTTCCCACTCACGAGGCTGATGGATAAGAAACTTAAAATGATTGACAGGATGTATTGTGCGTTTATTCTTCTCTTCATTATTATTCATTTTATTGCCTTCTGCATAAATGCATTTGCGTGTTTGCAAAGAAAATAAAACAGGTTTGTTAACTTGAGGGAACGTTGCGCAATAGAAGGTTAATGTGAAAAATGTGGTGTTTTAAAGTAATACATTTTTTAAAAAATTCTCTAATTTCAATGGAATACATCATTTGCTAAATGTCAAAGTGTGCATAGCATAAGTTTCCCATTATACGGCTCTCAAAACCCCCCTGTTCCAGTGCATACACATTATAAGCAGATTCAGACAGTACATGTAGCAAAGCATGATCTATGTGCTGTTCAATGTGCTCTCAAAGAATGTGCTAGAGATCTTTTATTCTCCTTGGGAGAAGTCCACTGCTACAGATGGGAAAGCAGTTTTTAAGGGACCAAGGAGCAAGCGGGGCTGAATTTGTGAAGTGGAACAGTGCTATGCATTCCTTCTCAAAAGCCATGAGGGGCTACTGTGCAGGTGTGTTTGTTTGTGTGTTTATGTTTAATATCCCTTGGGAGAATGCTGCAGTTCAGTAACCCTTAATTCCTCTGATTGTGCGGTAGTTGATGGGGCTTAATCATGCCATTGATTGACAAAAGGCAAATTCATGACCAGAAAATAAAGTTCCCTCCATAAATTGCATTAGCCGGTCTCTCTCCGGGTATAGAGATGTATGTGTTTTGTTGCTCGTGCCAAATCTTTACAATCTGCAGGAATGGAATCTTTCTGGCTTACAGGAAAAAAAAAATAAACACAGCACACCACGTGCTCTACATGCTGCGTGCCGAGTAACGGTAACATAAACACTATGCACAAAGCTAATTCTCTTAATTAAGAAAAATCAATTGTAATCTAGCATTTTTCCCACTCACGAGGCTGATGGATAAGAGACCTGCGCATCAGTGGGGACATCAATGTAATTATTTGCTCTGTGAAGTGGAGAATGGCAATTGTTTCTGCAATATTGAACTATTAACTCATGGGTAATGATTATTGCAGGGACAGTAAATTATCAAAGAAGGTCACAGGCAGAAAAGTCCCTTTGATGGCTACAGACAAGGCGTTAGGCTCCTCATTAAACAAAGTGATGCTGAAAGGCGATATGAACTGGACAGATTTTTCTCTCTCTCAAAGACTCAAACAAGCCCTTCTATCTCGCGCTTGCTCTCTTTCTCTCTTTTTATCAGGTCTGGTGAAAAGCCTGTCCATGTCCGCAGAGACAGAGCTTTCAAACACTTCTAGAGGAAAAAAAAAATCAATCCCCCTCAAACCAATGGGTAATCAGCGATCGCGTTGATAACACATTATCTTGCACATCTTTGATGGTGTAATGCAGTGGGGTTTAATGGCAAGAACGCTGGAAATAGCAGTGTTAGATAAATGCTTCCATTAGGGCTTCTGATGGGTCTCTTATGAACTGAGACTTGAGATGCTGGAGATGTCTGTAAGGAGGAAAACAGCTCTGAACTCTGCATGACAAATAAACTGTTTTCTAACATCAGACCACTGAATGGAGGGTTTGCTGTAAAATCATGGTTTCTTGAGAGACATAAGAAATAACAATCCATTTTCGACTGAAGCGGAGATACTGAAATAAGCAAATTAGTTTGCTAGACAAAACCACTGGTGTTTGATTTGTAGCCCTGACCTTCTTCACAGTTGTCTCCTTTGTAGCCTGTGTTGCAGTCGCAGGTGCCCATAATGCAGATTCCGTGTCCGCTGCAGTGAATATCGATGCACTGGTTGCTAGGAACGTCACACTCTGTCCCCTTCCAGCCGCTGTAACAAAGACAGCGCCCCCTGGAGTACTGCCCATTGCCACTGCACAGCACTGGACAAGCGGCTTTGAATAGAAAAACAAAAGGCAATTGGGGAAAGAAGATAAAAGATGAAAGTAGTTTATGACATTCATATCATTCAACATGTGAAGTTTTCTTTATGGATCTTCTACTGTGTTAGCTCTAAACCAGACAGACACACTAGCCGCATTTCCATTACCCTTCATTTACAGGTCACCTGGCGTACGTAAAAGTTACATGATCATCTTTAATGTACTATAACCTCCAAGAAACACCTCACATGTGGCAGCTCTCAAGTATAAAGGGCTTTCCTTGCCATTAATGTTTGGATAACCCCTTATTTACACTGAACACGTTTGTGGTGCATTACGTCTCTGACACGGCCACTCTAATCAATGCTTGTGTTTATACATTTCAGAAAACGTGGCTCTCCGCGCTGCTTCACTAAAGATACTCGGATATGTCTCCTTTGACTAAAAATAATGGCTAATGCAGTGGCTGCGATATTCGTAAACCTACCAACATCTGCCACCATGACTTATCGCAAGAGGAAAAAAAACGTTTTAGTCACATAACATCGGTTAATGGAAACGCCGTCAATTCATAATGGGTTTTTTATCGACATTTATAAAATATTGCACAAGTTTGCACAAATCTGTAATGGAAACCCGGCTACTGACAAAGCAAGCAAACAGATAATGAGAAAAAAGAAAATAAAAACACCACCACCAAATACATAAACAAAATAAATACAATAAAAACACCATGGAAATAAAACTAATTGTTGCTTCCTCCTGGTAATAAGAAGCCGTTCAGGCTTGGGAATTGAGTCCCACCAAAAGCCTACTAGCTGGCCGTATTTGCTCAAATGACAATCTGAAACCAATTATGAATAGCGACATTGGTTGTTTATTTCTCTTGAGAGTCGTGTGTGACCGTGTGTGTGCGCATGTGAGTAAGAGAGCATACCTCGTGAGCAATCAGGCCCAAGGAACCCTGGGAAACAATGGCATGTTCCAGAGCGACAGTCTCCGTTACCATGGCAATTGTGTGGACACTCTGTGAGGGTATCTGGGGGGAAGAATGAAAGCGTGTGAGAGGGAGCCACAGAAAAAAAGGAGGCGAGAGAGGAAAGGAGAGTGAGAAAAGCACTAATTGAGGAGACAGTCTGTGGAAATTAGCAGACATTCAGACCCCCCCATCTTTAATTAAAGGAGTGCCAGATGCGTGATTAACAAAAACCTGCATCTAAGCTTACTCTGCCTTAATGAACCAATCACAGCATTATTACCACCAATTAGCAGCCAGACGCTCTGCTCAGAGCTTTCTTTACACTGCTGGATGGCCATTAAAACACACATACACACACACATTTGCTTTTTTTTGTAATAGTGGGGACTTTCCATTGAATTTAGTTTTTATAGTAAAATAATGATTGAACCCTAGTCAATGAACCCAAAATCTAAAACTCACAGAATGTTTCAAGTTCGTAAAGTCATTTAGCGTGTTTAATTAGCCTCATGACAAACACAGCTGGTCCCACAATGTAAACAAAACTTAGACACATCTATATACTAAAAAACACACAAAGAGCTGTGTTAAAACAGAAGGTGAAAAACATTTAACATTAGTATGCTATTTCTTATAAACAGTAATACATGTTGCTTTGACAGCAGCACATTAAGGTAATATTGTTAATGTTCAGTAACATACATTTGCTTCTTCAACAAGCTCTAAACAAAGCTCTCTCTCTGTGCAATGCGTAGTTGTTGATTCATTCCTGAATGAACAAGCATTTTTGAATGAATCGTTTTGAGCGATTCAATGGCTCACTCTTAAAAAGAGTCACTTATCTCCACCTCTTGGCGAAATGACGCAACCTGCAGGAAGAGTGAATCATAAATCCTCACTACTACTAATACAAGCATTTCAAGCATTTTTCATTTTGTCGTTTTTCATCTTTAATTTAAAATTGACTGATTTGCGGCACAGCGCGCGTTTGCAAGCGTCATTACAATGTAAACTGATGGAAATACAGTACCATACCTGAAACAGAAAACTAATAAATACAATAATACTCCCTCCGCACTTCAGAAACTGTGGACTTCCACAAAGACACGTGCACACATCAGTCTTTCTCCTGTATGAGAAGAGTTTCTTTGACGGGTGAAGGGTGTGGTCTTACTAAAGGTGAATGACGCAACATAACGCCAACAATTTTGCTGAACTACATAATACATGGAACAGTACATAGTACATGTGCAACGCTATATTCAGGGCTCGCAAAATCGCTAGCCCGACGTCCCGGGCTATTGTGTTTTCCAGTCGGGCTACCAAAATGTATCACCACTCTGCCCCATGGGCTATCTTAAATACATATCTCCAGCTGGTACTTAAAAACTCCTAAAGTGAGTTGTATCAAACTTAAGGCCATAAAAAGTTTTAAATATATTAAATGGTATAAGAAATGTCTTAATTATAATTTCAAGAGGTCTTACAGTTGGGGACGGAAAGACAAGAGTCGCGATACGGCTGGATTAAACTTCAAAAGGCAATGATGTCATTGAATAAATATGAGCGCTGCACGTTTCAAGTCAAAACGCGGCGCGGATGTCTTTATTTGAATGTATCTCAAGGGAACCGACAGTCCTCAGAAACGTGTCGTTGGCATTTTAATTTAATTTTACCTATAATTCCTGATAAAGCAGCGTTTATGAGTGCGGCTCAGTACTGTGTTACCACAGACATTGTCCAACCCCACTACTGTGTTCATTTTACTTGTGCAGCTCTTAAAATGGGTCATAATTAGCCTTACATTTATTTTTTAAAATTCTGCAGATACCCTGTAAATAGTGAAATAAAATTCCTTCCTTCATATTTGTTGATATTTGTGTATAAAAAAATATTTTTGATTGACATTTAAACTCCTATATGATTTTCTATAATAAAAATGAATTTTTTAATATTTTTTTTTTAAAGGTCTTTTTTTATTTGGGCTAGTTAAATAAATTTTCAGGCTACCGAAATCTGAAGAGTACCTGCCCGAAGGGCTACCAGGGATTTTGAAATTTTGCGAGCCCTGATATTAATTATGTTGCTAAGTGTGGTGCCCGTGATATACAGAACCATTGAGTAAATAAAATACAGCTGTTGACCAATCAGAATCAAGGACTGGAAATAACAGTTTTACAAATATTATATATTATATAATATAAGTATGTGTAAACTAATATTTATTATTATTTATGTTTAATTTAATTAACAGTAATAACGTCAAACTTAGTAAATTTTAACATTATTATTATTATTATAAACTATTGGTTAGGGTTAGGGCCATCGCCAGTGATATCCCTTTTGTGGCCCTTTGGTCCACAGAAACCAATTTGTCTGGATCACAGAAATGCAGACCAGCAGAGTGATATAAACTGCAAAAAGTCCCAGGGACATTGGATGATTATACCAGCACTCTAGGAACACTGCTCAACCAATCAGATCTGAGAACTGGAAATAGCTGTTATCATGATATCATTCAAGCATATTACTGAATGCATAACTGTTATATAGTCAATCACAGATTTAATCCACACGGCTACCACACTCTTTTTGACTCTCTTGCTGTGTGTTGCCAAGGTGACATCAATGATTGTGACATCACCTGTCGATACTTTCATTAAAAGAAGCAGCTCATTGGTGTCTAAGTCAATTCTGACAAGGTAATGAACTGCACTGGTTTCTTGTCACCAGCCCACTGTTATGACACCATTGAAGCGTTTAGCAGAGCTCTCAGACATCGCCAGTGCAGGACCATATTATCTCGCTACAGAGATATAATCAATTTTCATTTTCAAAAGGTTAACTTTTTACTCATTGAAGCATAATCAACCCGTTTTTTTAAAAGAGGGTGCTGGCTGCAGTCCTACTGATCATTTTTCATGTTCTAGTCTTTGTGATCGAATTTGAAAGGAAATTACTCTTGCTGAGGCCTATTTTTATGAGTTCATGATGGAGGCGAGAAAAGAGGGGAAAGGGAAGGTGAGAAAAGGTGGAAAAGAGAGAGAGAGTTGGAGAGAGGAAAGGTCCTGCAGGTCACTATGCAACACTTTGAATCAGCTGCCGCCCACTAGCCACTTAAAACATAGATCGATACGGCTCTGACCATCATTATACACACTCATCTGTGAACACTCTTCTCTTTATCTCTCTCCGTTCATACAAATATTTACACAGAGACTAAAAAAATGTATAATATGCATTACCATTCAAAAGTTTGGAATACGCAAGATTTTTTTGTATGTATTTGAAAGAAGTTCTTCATGCTCACCAAGGCTGCATCTGTTTGATTAGAAAAAGTAAAAAAAGTAATACTATGAAATGTTGTTACTATTAAAATAACTCTTTTCTATTTGAATATATTTTAAAATGTAATTTGTTCCTGTGATGGTAAAGCTGCATTTTCAGCAGCCATTACTCTAGTCTTCAAGGTCACGTGATCCTTCAGAAATCAGTCTAATATGCTAAATTGGTGCTCAGTTGTCAGTTGTTTTGGTGTTCAGTTATTAATATTTTTTTAAAATAAAAAAACAACAACAATATTTAATACATATGTGGAAACCAGGATACATTTTTCAAGATTCTTTGATGAATAGAAATTTACAAGGAACATTTATTTAAAATAGAAATCTTTTGTTTAATTATACATGTAAATTACTGTCAGCTTTGATAAATATAATTGGTCTTTGCTGAATAAAATAATTAATCTTTCTTTCGTCCTTCCTTCCTTCCCCCAACATTTTTGTAGTGTATATTTTACACTGTATTTTCATATAAATAATATTATCAACACATCAAATTAAATGGAATTTTATGTGAATTTCAGAACGTCTTAATAGGTTGCATGCCTCCTTTTTGCTGTGGCAAGAACTCTTATTTTGAGGTTTGTGTAAAACCTGATGATCATGTGATCCATAATCATTTGAGAATGTTCCAAGAGCATCTTGAGCTCCAGTGGGAGCAAGTTAACATGGTCTATGTCACAAATTTGAATAGCGACCCAAAAAGATTCTTAAAAAAAACCCTTATTTATTTTATGTCATGATCTATAATAATAATAATAAATGCATATAACAACATAATATAAGTATAGTCATCATTTACCTATGATGATGGTGTTGTAGGAGACCTGTTCAGTGTTTTTGCCGTCATTGTAGAAGGCGAGGTGCCAGGTGCCCGAGTCCAGGTAGCGGATGAACTCTGCCTCATGAACGTTAACCGCACGAGCCTTTCTGGCTGCTCCTTCCACCTCCACCAGTCCACGCTTCTCTTTAGCTATCAGACGACTGCCGTCCAACAGCTCCACAAAGTCATACTGTACACAAACACACACACACACACACACACACACACACACAACAAATCAAATCCCAGTTTAATCACAGACAGATCAGAGCATAGTGCAGTACCAGCAAATATTCACTGCAGCTCCGCATGTCTGGAGTCTGATGTGTTATACAATACAATGTCAAAGAATTGTTTTTGAAAAGCATGCGGCTCTATTACATATAAATTGCAAGAGATTTTTTTTTCGGAGCTTTGACAAGCTGCTCCCAAAGAGCGAGTTTGAATCAAGGCCTCTGATGAGTTTAACATGCTGCTCTCAATTTACAGTGCATTAAAAAAGATATTTGTTCCCTAAGAGACCCATTGGAGAACAACATAAGAGAGTGAAGGGAAGAATAAGTGAGCAAGAAATTACAAGACGCCTGACAAAACGAGAAGACATTTCGATCAGTGGGGAAACAGAAGTCTCCACGCCTCTGTCTGTCAACAGAACTTCAACCTATCCTTTATTCAGCCTTTAAGAAACATATTGATTGATGTGTGGTAATTAAAGCACTGGGTCAGTGCTATCGACTCTTATTGTGGAGGCCTCCGCTGCCAATGACCTCTGTTAAGCATTTACGGGTTTTAAGAAGCCGAGGTGCTGATGTTGCTTGGCAAAAAGAAAGAAACAGGACAAGGAGAAATAATTGGTTTGCTTGCGAAGGCCAAATGCAGTTTTTAATCAAAGCGGGCAAAACATGCATAGAAGTATGAATTACTTCAAGTTTGAATTAGACAGACGCCGCAGATGGAAACTGAATGGGGATTGTCGGGCTCTAACATGTAGCTTTGAAGGTCAGGTTTGAAAGTGTGACAAAAGTGACGGTCTTTTGAGGAAAGTTTGCTATCTGCCATTTGTAGCAGATCTGTGAGCCTCATCTAAAAGGACGACAGTAATTGGAACAGTGGGTGTTGTGGCATTTCTTACATCTGGTTACACTGAGAACTATGACTGTAATTATAACATGGAAATTATGAGAATTACCAATCTGAAAAACAGCATCCTACAAAAGATTGCTCAGTTCCTCTTAGTTTAGCATTATGGGCATTGGAATTAGATGCAATGGTGCTATTTTCAACTGTCATTTGGCACCCACAGAGATCATCTAAACCCAGCAGACCCCTGGGGGTCAGTGAAAATACGGCAGGAGAAAACTGAATTTTCTTGAAAATGTTGCATAACGATTCTAACTAATGCAATGAGCATTAAATATCATAATGATTTGCTAAGCATTTTATAATGTAAAATGATTTAAATGAACAATAGGATAAAGTGTTATGGAAGTTAATGCAGGAAATTCATTTCAAGAACAGCAACAAAAAACATCTCTGATACCTGAGTGTGAGTGGGAGGCAGGCCTTTCCGGCCATAGACCCCCACCAGGGCGCCTCTCTGGACGGAGATGTTGAACTTGAGGGACTGCGGCTGGTCAATGAAGAGCTGAGAGCGCCAAAAAGTTCCTGGAGGGACGTCCTGTACTGCTCTACGGCCCACATCCACCTCACCCGTGTCTATGGTGTTATTCTCTTGAAAGTAAACTCCTAGAGAGAGAGATACAGGAAGATGACATTTGTAAGAGACAGATAAACCATATTTATGCTAATAACCTACTGGTAGAGACTAGAAGCTATTCATTTTCAGCAGTGATACAGTGATTTGTCCCTGTGAGATACTGTGGTTGAATGTATGCAAGATGGAAAACAAGCTAACCGTAACTGTGAGCAATTTCCCTGTTCTATGATCTGCCTCTGCCCATATACAGAGACATAATTAAAAAGAGATGTGTGGAAAACCATGTTGAACCATGACATTTTTGGCATTGCAAGGAAGCTTGATTCATGCATTGATAATCGTTCATCTTGTTCATCATGAATGCATTGTTTACAGGCAATAGATTCCATTTGTGATCATGCAAGCGTTATAGCTAGTATGGCAGGAAACCAATAACATTAGAACAACCAGGAGTGGGAGCTACAACTAACAATACGGAACAGTGAATGGTCCTTTAATACGTTCTATAAAAATATTAAGCAACAATCTATGTGTTCAAAGGGAACCTGAAACACAGATGGTTTATATGATTCTCTTTTTAAATAAAACAGTTTACGAGTTCCTCCATTAGCAGCATATATGTTTGTGTGCCAGTGCAATCGTGATTCTTGCTCTAGCCTCAAGTGTGATCAAACATTCATGAGGTATACCAGAATAATCTGATGTCAAAAATCATTAAATCACTCCATACAGTATTTAATTAGCATCTTTAAACCAACTCTTTCTGACCCTCATTCCCAAGATAACCATCACAGTGAATTACCCAGCCAACAGTAAAGAAAAAAACACTATTTTATACCATTATACTCTGGGGTACGTTTATCAAAAGCATTGTTAGCCAGCTATTTCAACATAGTTTCACTGTTAGCAACATAGTTCAACGATTTGTGTTTTCCTAAAACTTCAGCTCCAATGAACAAATGATCTTGAGCAAAATAAGCAAATGAACACGCAATACAATCTATATCTCTCATTCCATATTAATACATATTTAATTTTATATCTTTTAGTTTGTCAAGAGAATGAAAGAGCCGTTTTTGAAGAGTGCACATATGTGAATGCACTCTAGTAACCTGGGGGAGTATTACGTAAAACTAACAACCTCGATTGAACCAAACATCTGTAAATAAAACAAAACAACATAGAACAAATATGGCAAAGTAATCCTCAGATGCCATTTGCACTGTTTACACCAGTAATCTCGAATTGATTAATTACCATACGTTATTACTCCACCACCTGTGCGACATCTTTAACAATGGTTTTATATTGTTGAAACAATGTCAGTCATAACTAACTAGTTAATTTCTCCAACGATGTATCATACTATGGTTAAGCAGCGAGTACCCTGGCAAAACTCTTGTCAGTTTGTTCATTTCCTAATACTAAAGGGACCTTGAAGAGATTTTAGAATACACTTGGATACATCTAATCTAGTTGAATTCATAAAGCTCAGGGATAATGGTAATTTCAAGCCACCGTTTTCCAAAAGTAGCCAACTGCGGTAATATTACATGGCGAGTCTAAGTGAAGCTATTTGACTTAGCAGAGCTCAGAACTCGCCAACAGAAGCTTCGGCCTATTTCAGCCCCTCACAACATGTTACAAGGCAACAGCGCGGAATGGAGAGGTAATGGGAGAAGGAGAATAGGCTATGCTCATATGCTAGCTAATGGAAAGCAGCTGCCATTAATATTGCATTAATTATTATTGCGTAATTCCATAGCACGCGGGCACTAACCGCACGCGTGTTGCTAATGCAGTCAGCCGGCTACATAAAGAGCATGTTGGAGTGAATGAAAGAGTAATTAGAGAGGACTTGCTGACTGTTAGTTTTAATGTGAGCATGCCTGTGGCCCTAAATGCTCTACAGAGCAACCGAGAGAAGCCATCTGTAAAGCTCTGATCAACAGTATTGTCCACAGGATAAAAAGAAGGGGACGGTGCGCTTAAAGAATGCCAGTGGAAAAGAAATTTGCTTTCTGTGTGTGCCAGGGATGCCCGGGGTGTTTCTTGGACATGGATATTGAATTGGCATTTGCCCATGAGAATCGCAGAGATGTAAAAGGTTTGTTTTGGCTAGATGCAGAGACTCCCTAAAGCCCTGTACTTCTCTTTCTGTTTCACTTTCTTTAGCTTCTCTCTTCATCTTAGCCATGTGATCTGCCAAACTGTCTTGATCTTTACTGTTTAAATGTGTGCATATTTCTGTGGGTAAGACAAAGAATAACATTCCAAGCTGCTGTAAGTGTATTTTTTTTGGATACCACATAAAATACCACTACTATCTGAAAGATATCACTGAAATTGATGTCCTAAGAAATGACACTTGTCTCTGTAATTGCCTGTGGCTCTGTAAAAAGCAAAAATCTGGAAGAATCTGGGTATGTACAGGTATGTCATTATTTTTACATTTACGGTTGTAGGCACAGAATTTACACAATGACCCTTAAAAACAACAACAGCAAAAAATTATGACATTATTTACTCATACTCCAGTTATTCTCATTTCTCATCAATGTTTAATTTCATGACATTTGGTGGAGGTGAAAAGTTTTAGTCAATTATATTTTGTATTTATATTTATATTGTTCTTCATTCAGATTATACCACATTATTTATTTTTTGGTCATCTTTGAAGCTTGAGAGCCCCTGGTTTCTATGAAATATAGTTGTATAGAAAAGATCTGTGAAAATTCAAATGTTTTGTTGTGTTCTACAAAAAAATCATGTGTTTAGAATGACATGAGGGTGAATAATTATGCCAGAATTAATTTTTTGGCTGAACCACTTTAATTAATGTTAGTAGTAATACTGTGAACACAAAAGTGAAAAAAAAAAAAAATTAAGCTATTGCTCTTTCATCCTGAACAAATTAAAAGAAAGGAGAGTTGTGGTTTTCTTGCTGCAGTGACAGATGACAAGATGTTTGTGACAACATTTACACTCAAGTACTCTGTCATACAGCTATACAAAAACATGTCAAAAAGAGGCCTCATTTTTAATTTTGTCATTGGGTATGGTGTGACTTTCTCCTGTGTCTCGCTGTACGACTCATTAGACAGCAATTTGCTCCAACACTGCACACACACGGTGACTTTCAGTCCACGGCAGCAACAGTCAAGACTCTGGAGAGGTACACACTTTTACTTTCAAATGGCTAGACGGAGCGTAGCTGAATGGAACGGACCCACAGGGTCTTGAGACAGGGTCTTTAAAATAATTATTTTTAACCTGACATGTGACATTAAAAACGCAACCAAGAACTCAGTTTACTTCTGCTGTGCTGTCAAGTACAAAATTTACAAAATTACTAAAATGCACCGTTAGACAGTTAGTGACAGAATTTAATTAGAGACAGAATTAAACTTTTCCATTAAGGGGTGATATTTGCCCCCCTTTCCAGGGGCATATTTAACTAACCTCAAATGTATGTGTCGTCTTAAACTTAATATATTCAATTAAAATTGTATTAAACTACAGGTATCTTACAAGTCAATTGAAATCAGTATCAACACAATCCATCTTTGCACTGCAAAGGTGACAGAAGCTGCATCTGAAGTGGCATTTAGATATATTTACACAGACTGTGTGTACTGTACATATGCAGCTCAGAGGTGGTATAAATGTCTTTGCACTGTAATTACAACTGCATAAATGATGTACAAGATTGATATTTTTTTATATAAAATCGTCATAAACGTCTCTAGGTTACGTATGTAACCATGGTTCCCCAAGGGAACCCCACAGCTTCCATAACTCCGGGCGGGGGTGAAGAATGGCGCCCCCCGCCTGAGAGAGGAGGTCCCTCCTGATCGGAATCTCCAGCGGAGAGCCGTCAAGGAGGGACCCAAGTCCGAGAACCATACTCGGGCCGGCCAGAACGGGGCTACTAGCAACAGACGGACCCCATCCCGGCGTACTCTCTCCAGAACTCCCGGGAGCAGAGCGATCGGGGGAAAAGCGTACAGACGAAGCCTCGGCCACGTCTGCAGCATGGCATCCAGCCCCCTCATTTAGATACCCAGAGATGTAAACTGCTCTTAGAGAGAGGAGCTTCCCCTGAGCCCACAGAAGGATCTGGCGCGCCAGCTTGTACAAGGGGCGCGAACGCAGACCCCCCTGCCGATTGATGTAGGAGACCACCGATGTGTTAGAGATAGCTCGCAAGCGTCTGCTCCACCACTGGCATCGCCCCATATCCCTTATCATTCAGCCCCACGGTGTTCTTTTGAATAATTCGAGACTGTGGGGCTGTAAATACGGGATGAGTACGGTTTCTCCCACGATCTTGACACCTCAGCATGGAGATCGGGGAAAACGGAAGGCCTCCGTCGTGAAGGCTGTGATCTGGATTCAGAAAACGCTCGTCTAATTATTTTTAGGACGAGCGTCCTGTTTCTAGGCTGGCCAAACGATATTTTATTTTGGAGACTGCACGAAACACACCCCATAATCACGAATCATACCTCATACGCGAGGGACTGTGGTGGCGAGTCCACAGTCTTCTCTGTCTCGACACTCATCACATCCACCTCCTCAGAGGAAGATAGATGAAGCGTCTGGCTCTCTCTCTCTGGGGGGGTGGGAAGAAACCGCAACGTGGGCTCCCGAACACTGAGAGAGAGCTGCGGATCTAGCGGGTGAGGACCGAGAAAAGGACGAGCCCGTCTCGGAGCCCTCCGCTAAATCCACCCGCGATCCCCACGACAACAGTCTGCGCTGTGCCTCGGCAACAGCGGGACCGCTACCAGCGGGATCGCGAGCCTGGCCGCTCTCATCAAACACAACCAGGCGAGAGCGGAGCGTGCGCAGCGAGAGCAGCTCGCAGTCATGACAATCAGCTCC